AACACTGAGGCAGCGATGATGGCGTGAGTGGACGCCATGGCTCTGATTTCGTGGTCCCACATGATGGCGGCTTCAGCTGACTACGAACGAACGGCGACACAATTAAAATAAATCAAATTAAAAAGCTTATAAAATTAGCGGAACATCGGATGAGGACAGTGGGGTGAAGCCATGAATGGATGTCTACCACGCTTCCGTAAACATGGAGAGACGTTGATTTCCGCTTGACTTTCAAAGTAAAAGTATACTATGACTTCTCAAAAGTTTGAATTCAAGGAATGACTTTACACCAGACTAAAACACAGATATAAACACAGTCAGATTATTTCTAAATAGCCTGATTACTGGGCATATCAATTAGAAAATATCTGGTACATATTTGATCAAAACTGTCAAACGCAGCTTCATGTTGGATTCCCGTTTCTAAAACTAAATACCACTCTCAATATGGCGGCAATATTGACGTACGATTCCAAATGTCAAATTTGTTCCTCTGTTCATACGTAACGTGCTTGATCTAACCAATCATCAGCATTCTAGTTGGCTCTTTGGTTGACGTCACCATAGTAAACCAATGAAATTTTGTTATTTGAAAGGTCACACTTCACCGGAAGTTTACGCCAGCAAAGGAAGCTAAAGCTATACGTTGTTTTTCTTCTCTTTGCACCCTAAATAAACACATCGGAAACATGGTTTGTGAAAAATGTACGTTTGACATTTCTCTCTTTAATCTTGTTATATAAGTTTGAAGCTAATGGAAGTTGTTTGTGTCAACGAAGCCTCTCCGAACGCTGATGACGGTTACGTGAAGTTAACATTCGGTTTTACACATTTTCCTTGCAGTAAATATAAACTTCGGTTGTTTCAGGTGAGAAGAAGCTTGGCAGAGTTATCACTCCGGACACTTGGAAGGATGGAGCTCGGAATACAACAGGTGATGGTTTCAAAAGAAAAACATGTTTGATACGGGAGGACGAAGTCTATGCTTAATTTATAGGATGTGTTTCAACAAAATAGAGTAAGCTTACATGTTATATTCCCATTAGACTCACTCATTAAACAAGTGTCAGTGGTAAAAGCTTTATATATTAACTACCTTAAAGTAGGTAGATTCCGATTAATAAGCATGGTGGTGACAGCATCATGCTGATGGACTGCTTTTCGTACTGTGAAGTTGGTTAGAGTTGAGAGGAGGATAGATGAAGCACTATAGTTGTGAGTTTTGTGTTTAAAATTTTTAGCTTTTGATGGTCATCTGCTCTGTTTGCTCTGACTTATCCAGGTTGGCTATCATTTATATTGTCTCACTCAATGGGTTTCTCTCGCTTACATTTTTACTTAGAAAGTGGAGGGCGCAAGTTGAATGAAAACAAAATGCTGACATCTAAAAAAGCAAGGTTGGTATTCTCATGAAAGAAATATTAAAATGAACAGCTCCTAAACTTCCAAGCGTTACTGCCTTTGTAATTAATTAATTGTTTTTCTCAGGTTTGACCCTTACAGCAAGACGGGGTTTGCTGTCTGCAGGATCTGCAAGAGCTCGGTTCATCAACCTGGGTCTCACTACTGCCAGGGCTGCGCTTACAAGAAAGGTAAGGTATCATTTCTAATTCATTAAGCCCTAATTCAAATGAGTGTCATGTTTAAGCTGGCTAAAGAGTAATAGCCACAGTATAACTCTGAAGTTTGGCATTTTGTATTGTTTGAATGAGATAGTTGCCCAAATATTATTTTCTCTTTTTGTAAGTTTTCTGTTTAGTTTAAAGGAAGGAAAAGCTCAGTTTTGTGTCAATTTGGGCAGAAATTTACACACACAACTTTATTTTGCTCTGATTAGAGACTTTATTTAATTACTTTTTTTTCAAAGAGTAGTGCAGAGAGTAGTTTACATCTTACCCAAAATAGATAATTCTTTTTTCACTTATTTCTTTAATTTAAAATAGAAAGTGAGGCTTAAATTCTGAGATTACACTACAGCCAGGTAGTTCAGGTAATGTTTCTCACATGTCTGACTCAGAAGTGGCTACAATACCACGATTGCGACAGCTGTAGGTTATGTTGTTAAAGGGTCGAATCCTACATTGTAAGTAAACAAAGTATGCTCAGACTGAATCCAGGGCTGCTCTGATTGGTCTGTTTGAATGAGGTGTGTTTGCTGCTGCCATCTCTGTAGAGTATTTGAACTGAATGAGGAAATGCAAACAGTTGTTTCTCAAAATAAAGCTGCGGTTTCTCCATATAACAAACAATGTATACAAATAAAGAGTAGGTCTAAGTATATCATTAACAAGCCACGTTTCCAGAGGGTTCATGAAAACATGGCAATGACTTTGGTCCCTAATTTGTGATGCAACATGATTTTCCAAGAAAATTTTTCACAGCTATTTCTTCTCACTGCAGAAAAAGCTAAAATGTTTTTTGTCTCCAACTTAAATTGGAAGCTTTCATCTTCAACAAGTATGTCCACTCTACCTGCTTTGCAGTAAAGATACCAAGCAATGGAAATGACCGAAAGTTTAGCAGAAGCACTCTAAAGGCTTCAGCTATATCACATTAAACATTTACAAAACTATTCATGGCTCTATAACTCAATAAAGTTCAGAAAGTACACTAAGCTACAAAAATATTCGTCGTCTTCCCATTTTGTCAACCACATGCTTTGGTTTGTTTTTGCAGGGCTAACACAGAGTAGTGCATCATTGCTAAGTGGAAGAAAAGGGATAGATGGCAAATAAAATGAAAAATCTAAGCGGTGTCTTCTGCATTTATATTCAGGCCCCTAAGTTGGTACCTTTAGAGTCACATTTTGCTCCAGTTACAACTGCAAGTCAAATTTTTTGCAACAGTTGTCAGATTAAATGTGAACAACCATGGTTGGTATGTTTGCAGATCTGCTTTACTTTTTCCATCTTCAGACTATTACTTGAAACAATAATTTCCCTTCCAGTTCAGATTTACGCAACACTTTCTGTTGATCTATCACATAAAATCCTAATAATCATGTTGGAGTTTGGGGCTGTGATGTGATAATATGTTTAAATATTCCAAAGCTATGAATATAAGTGCATCTCCTGATTCTTTTTTTCCTTCTTCCTTCTTTTGTCCATTTGTCTCTTCAGGAATCTGTGCCATGTGCGGAAAGAAGGTTCTGGACACCAAGAACTACAGGCAGACGTCTGTGTGATGTAGCCATGGTCAGAGAGCATCTTCGCGAGTGTTAAACATAGACTGTGAAAGAGACGTCCTGAGGCGTTTTCTTTATTTTAGACTATTGTATCACACCACTGGATCTGTTCCATTCTCAAGCAGACGGCGTCGTCTCCAAATAGATCATCTGTCCGTAAAGTGACCGCTTCCAGAGGTGTTTTTGTCATTAGTCCCAAAACTAAGTGTATCTGCTTCTTTGAAAATGTATGCATGTAATATTTGCCGTGTTGAATTTGAGTGAAATAAAGCTGCCAGTTTGATATTTGTCAAAACGATTTATACGCCTACAGCTATAACGGGTTATAATTTTAGCCTCTTACGCACAGCATGGACTTATTTCCTCTTTGTGTTGCAATAATTGGTTTATTCTGATATAATCATATTTGGAAACTGTCTGCTTTACTGTCAGCAGTGACCCTCCCCAATCCCTGTGTGGAGGTTGTAGTTCACAGGTCTCCCTCTTTGATATTTAAAGGGCTTGTTCTGCCTCAGGCCTGTGGATACGTGAGCACGGTTGTGTTTTATTGAAAAGACTAAAGCAGGATCAAATCTCCTGTTCAGACAGGGTCTATAATGTACTGCACTGGAGGCTGTGATTCATTTGCAGTAAAAACCCAATTAATTGCTAACTAAAATGAAATGGTGGGTAAAGTTCATCCACAAATATAATTTGATTTCAAGTACATCTTCCTCGTTTCTACTGACATGTTATATCTTTTACTATGAGTTAGCTTTACATTTTCTACCAAGAAATCCGAGAGATCCTAGTTCCTTTTTTCGGGTTGAGTGATCGAATGTTTGGACAATTATTGCCCTTGGTTCTGGATGCTGTACTGCTGGAAGATTTTTGTTGTTCTTGCTTTTTAACTTTCCAACAAACTGAGATTTAAAGAGGAGTGGCAAAAGCAAATGAGGTGGATTAGCAGAGTTTTTCAACAACTGATGGTGTCTCCTAGAACCTCTACTGCCTGCAAATTGAGCTGCTAGCATGTTTTGACAGTCAGAAGGCTGCTATTCACAACACACTTAAGCCAGAGGCCTGTTCAGATTTACTGTGTGATTGACTTCTACTGGTGACTCTTCAAGGATGCTGAACTTATGTAAGTTGCATTTAATTTCCCTTTGGGATAAATAATTTTTGAAGGGATCTGAAACCACAGTTAACTGCTTTTGCAGGAAATGCTTTACTTATTTGATGAACATGAAGAATCCAATAGATTTAATTAATGGAAATATGAACCACTTCTCAGTGAAAGGCTCCAAAGAACGTCCGTACAGAGAATTATGGAGAAACATTGTGAAGGTGGAGTGTCAGAGAGAGAAGGAGCTTTAACAGAGGTCAATTTCAAGAAATCGAATTGCAAAATCAAGTTTCTTTTAACTCATGTTTGATATATGCATTATTTTTATAATGTTTATAAGGTAACGGTGACTAGATTGTGCTATAAAATGGCACTATGTGCCTGGAAAACACAATACTGCCCCTTTAAACATGCAAGAAAAAAACATCAAATGAACACTCCAGATATTTTTATGATGAGAGAATAAGATTACAACATATTATAGAGCTCAAAATTTCTATTTTACATATAAACCTCAAATCCAGGTTAAAATTTTTTTAATTCAATAGCTTCTAATTCAATGTGTAACTGACATTATTTATTGTTCTTGTGTCTTTTATATTTCTGATATTGAACACTTTGGTAAGCCATGTGCTATCTTTAAAAAGCCAATTTATAAAAGTATGGTGTGATATTTATATATTACAGGACAAAAAACTGTCAACAATATTCTTAATGTTTAGAAAGCTTTATTTCAGATGACAATATTATCTTTGATCACAGATTTACATCGATTGGCTGGACTCTTTCATCTTTAGATATTTGATTCATATCGCAAAATGTCACTAAAATTCAAAGGTTTTAAAAATGTATACAAATGACAAATAAGTTTGGATTACGTAAATAACACTTTGGAAAAGCACCAATGAAATTCCCATCGGAAAGAAGAAAAAAAATAAGACAAATACTAACTGTTACGTATCTTAAGTTGCCATGTTACAGTACTCAGGTTACATATTTCATAGCAATATTGCCGTGCAAGACTGTATAATAAGTAATAAAGGCACTAAGAATATGCTTGTTGGGTTCACAGTGATTTCAACGTAAATCTCTCAGGCTTCAGTGTTTTGAGGTTAACTCAACAGGCTGGAGGTCATACAGCAACTTCATGTCTCTTTCCCATCTGGTGTCACAAGCAGAACCCACAGTGAATCCATGTCTTTCCATCCACTGCAGTGGCTGGGGAATTTAGAGTGGCTTGAGGTCCGTTAGGCGCGCATCGCCAGAGCCAAGAACTCCTCCCGGGTCTTGGGGTCCTCGAGGTAAACTCCCAGCATGGTGCTCGTCACCGTGCGGCTGTTCATCTTCTGGACACCGCGCATCACCATGCACATGTGACTGGCAACACAAACACACACAGACCGAGGGAGTGAACGGTCGGACTTACAGCCGCAGAATAAGAGAATCCCTCAAGCCTGAGGGTGGTGCAGTTAAAGGGGAACGCCGCAGAATTTTCCACTTCAAAAAGCAGGACGAATTTATACAGGCAGCTTTATTACCCCTGACAAAATATTATTTGTTTTATTCTTGGGGAAATTCCATGTGTGAACTTACGCTGCTTCTACAACTACAGCCACACCTTTCGGCTGCAGCGCTTCACATATTCCCATAGCGATCTGCTTCGTCAGACGCTCTTGAACTAAAAAAGAAACAAAATGAGTCAGAACATTAATTTTTTGATAAGTATTTTATGATTGTGCTATCACAGATTAAACAAAAAAATATTCTTCCCTCACCGGCTTTAAGGAAAAAATACTAAATCAAGATGAAACCTCCAATGTGCTTTACAGTTGGAAACATCTATTAATCCATTTTCAAAATCTGTTTAGGGTTTTTCACACTTGACAGTCCAATTGGGGACCAAAATTGCAACATTTGTTAGATCTTCAGTCGGTGTGGGTTGCTTTCACATTGCATTGTGTCGAGAAACATGTTCCCCTCCTCGCCTGTGGTGGCGCTGCACCAAGAACTACTAAACAAAACAACACAAAGACCTCAGAAGAAAACACTGAGCGCAACTTCTTTCCTCATAAATTTTAAGCCAAAATGGTCAGATATTAGCAGTTGTAGAATTTCTCTTTTGTCTTTGGTAAAGGCCGTGAGCCATTTCTCATTGTAGTGCTATACTGTAGTGTTTGTTTTGGTTGTATTTACCCAGAATGCCCTGTGCTATAGTCCACTTCCTGCTTTTGATGTGACCGCCTGTCTGCTTTCATCCATATACGCATCCGAACCGCAATAACAGAGTTTGCTTCAACCGAACTGAGACCGAGGTTTTTAGGCGCACCGGAGTTCGATCGCACATTCACACCACCCCAATTAAACCAAACTTTCTTGTCAAATGGCTTAGATTTGGGTTAAAGTGGACTAAGCAAGACTGGTGTGAATGCATTCTTACTCATTATAGGGTGGGGTTTATCTCAAGGCGTGTACACTCTGAACACAGGCTCATGTGTAAAGTCAATTTAAGGGGGCTAGTTGCATAAAATACTTCTAAGGAGCACACAGGGAAAACATACAAACTTCCTGCAAGATTTAAACAGAGGACCCTTTTGTTGTGGGAAAATGTTGCAAACATTGTTTGAAGTGAACATTGCAGTTTCACAGTATTTTACCTACCCTGAAGTCGGCGGCTGAAGATCTCCACAATCCTACAGAAAGAGAAACGCACACAAAACAGAGAAGGCTGCTTACAGATCAGGTGTAATAATGATTAATCTTTCAGATAAACACAAACTCGCATCGATCCTTTGGCCAGCGGGCCTCCGAACTGTACAGCTTCTTTATCTGTGAATCATTCACCATACAGAGTTCTCAGAGCGACTCGAGGGCAAGCTCTTTTGCAGTTATCCCGGGTTTCTGATTTCCCAGGGGGAAGGAGGAAACAAAAGAAGCTGTGATAATAACTATGATTCCCACAGGTCTGAAAGGATTTTCTCATGGCTCGAAGCGGATAGCATCTAGACTTGTGCCTGTCATTCTGCCAGAGGAAGAGACTATCTGATGGCCAGTGGGCTCAGACTCTAAGCCTCCAGGTCAAAGCACTGAGATAACAGAAGAATGCAGTCACCCAGCACTAACAGCAGGCGCATACAGTGGCAGCAGGCGGTTATGATGGGAGCTGTGTTACCTTGCCAGCTTGCTGAGTCCTACCACTTTTTTGTTTGGGATGTAGCCAATGTGAACCTGGAGAGAGAGCACAGGAGCAGAGGTCACCAGAGGACCTACCAGATCGCTGATGGGTGTTTGAAACACGAATGAAGGCGTCACCTTTCCAAAAAATGGTACCAAATGATGTTCGCACAGGGAAAACACATCTATGTCCTTCACAATCACCATCTCATCGTGGTCCTCGTCAAATATGGCGTTGTTCAGGATGTCTGCAGGGTAATAAAAAAAGAGAATATTCTTAAGAAATGCATATATATATATATATATATATACACACACACACACACACACACACATACATATAGGTGTGTGTGTGTGTGTATTTTTTTAAAACGTGCTGCAAAAAGGGTGAATTTTTTGCTGGAACTCCTCATCTCTGATCTACATGAATCCATTATTGTGTATTGCATTCCATCCAACTTGTGTGTTGGAGCACAATGTAGCTGTTGCTTAGTCTGAATTGGTAAGGTACTAAATGCACCAGTCAATTCAATATCCACTGGTTGCTGGGCCAGAAATGGGTGTTTAAATTGCACCATTTATCACTTAATTGGAGATAATTGGTTCCAGGCATATCCACTTGATATGCCTGGAACCCGTATTTGCAATTAGCTTTTTAAAAAAATTGCTTTGGGACCGACAGTTCCACCTGTTTCCAGTACAAATGTTTTAAAAAACTTATCAAATAAATATATATTAAGCCAAACATAACTGACAATAACATAATTCTCTAAATAAATAATTTGTTTCAATGTTAAAAAAAAAAGATAAATTGAAATCTAAACTTTTATAAAATAATTTCAGTCATGATTTAAATTTTTTTGTGGTTTTTGCACTACAGGTCATCCTGCTAATATAGATCCTCACTGGTTAAACTAAATATCCATTCAACGATCAAAACTTTGATTACAACATCGTTGGGGTCAAGTTCACATGGCAGGTTCACTTTTTAGCCAAATTAAACGTCATAAAGAAACAGAAGAAGGAGATAGCGATAAATTGGTTTGGATGATTTCTATCATAACATTTAGATTTGAATTATAGATAGATAGATAGATAGATAGATAGATAGATAGATAGATAGATAGATAGATAGATAGATAGATAGATAGATAGATAGAAAGTCAAATTAAGCAAACATAACAAAAATAAATTTGATAAATGTCATTCAGTTACTTGTGACCAATTAACACTTTTTTAAAGTTAGAACTCATTTTTATTTTTTCAGTGTAGATAATTACCGTCTCCAATCTTTTATGCTATTGTTCCCTTTATAGCAACGACACAAACCCAACACCTATCCTATCTGAGGTCCCAGGTGTCAAACTCACCATCGATGGTCTCATGGTAGCCCTTGGTGAGGAACTGGATGGCCTTGGCGGCGCGCAGCGGCGTGCGCAACAGACCATCCCGGTCCGTGTCCTCTCCCAGGTTCCGCAGGATGCTGGTGTAGGCGGCCTCCAGCGCGGGTAAGCGGGACTCGTCCTCGGCCTCCTTGCGGGACGTCTCATGCTTGCGGTGGACCACGGCGGACTTCTTGGTGTCGATGATGAGGTCGCTGAAGCCATTGTTGCAGTGGAACTCCTCCACCGCGGTTTCCCCGACTTTCCCGTTGCAGTGAGAATTCATGTTGGTTTTGATTTTAAAAAAATATATATATATATATATTTTTTTTCTTTTTTGGAAATCAAGAAGAAAAAGCAGAATAAAGAGCAGCAGAAGAAGAGTAGAAGCTGAGGTGACCCGACTGGGCTGCTTGAGCGCTCTCGGTGCGCTCTGCTTTTATAAAGCCTGCCAGGAGCGGACACAGCTGACCATTCACCAGGTCTGCGGCTCCTACGTCAAAACCAGCAGCAGGGTCATCACAGAGCCCTCTCCCCCTCCCCCTTTGAATCGTGAGGTTAAACATGCAGGACATTTTCTGCATCTGGCATCACTTGACACAAAATGCATTAGGCGTATTTCCAACTGATTTGTTCCGGTTAAAATATGATATTTTACAACACTCATTCCCTTAAAGACTCACGAGCCTCATGATACTTTTTATTTTCCAGGTTTTTTGAGGGGGAGGGCCAGAGGGGGTTCAAAGTTAAGATTATGATGACTGGTTTCACAGTGGCAGGCACTCCTGACCAACATCCAACTTCTGTAACTAATTAGAAATGGTACATGAAACGATCTCCCTCAGGGATTAACCTTTCAGCATCCAACCAACCAACCTTTGAATTAGGTTTAGATTTGCAGATTTCTCCTTATAAATTAAATTATAAGGTGGTACATGAATGCACTAAAGATGTAACGGTATGAACTTAAAGAGCACTTTCATGCCCATGCAGTGCCTTACACAAGCGTTTTATCCCTTGAACTTTTCCACAATTTTGTCACGTTACAACCACAAACTTTATTGTATTTCACTTGGGTTTTATGTCATTAATCAATACAAAATAACTGAACAGTTCAGGAAATGATCTACGTTTACTGATTAAAATGTAAAAGTGTAGCATGTAGTGTGTTTGTGTTCAGACACTTTTAATCTGTCACTCCAGACACCTAATCAGTCTGTTTCCATACTATTCTGTGAAGGTATCAGAGGTTTGTTAGGGAACATTAGTGAATAAAATGCAGATTAATAATGAAGCATCTGAAACATCTAAAGTAGGAATATATTGTAAAGGATTATCTCAAGCAACTTCTCACTCGGCATGTGAACATCCATCATCTGAAACAGGTCAGATTCGAACTAATCTCCAAATCTGCCAAAGAGAACCAGCAAAAAGAAAATCTATAAGAAGACCTGATTAGAGTGTGCTGCAAGGTATAAAGGCCCCAATATGTGGACCAAAGAGTGCTGGTCAAATATGAGCAAAACTGAACTTCCTTGCCATCTTGCAAAACTAACACTGCACATCATTCTGAACACCAGGGCTGGTCAAAGATTGTATGGGGCCTTGAGCACACTTTACTTCCTGAGGAGGCCATTTGTGTTAGAAGCAAGATCTGCTGTGGAGAGTGCAACCTCTTCTACTGTCCTCTGTTCAGGTGGGAAATACTTTCTGCAAAAATAAGCAGCCAATATTGCATCACATCAGGCTGTTAAAATTGCTGAATAAAATAAAATGAATAAAATTGGTGATGAATAAATGGCTCAAATAAATCAATACACATAAAATGAACCTCTTACTTTAAAAAAGAACTTTCCCTCATGTTTATAATGTAATTTCCAGATTTTTTAGCTTATTTCCAACAAATTATATATTCAAACACATGAAATATGCTTAAAAATTTAATGTGTTAAGGGATACAAATTTTTGTTTTCCCTTTTACACAGATGTATTTCTGTCTATTTAAATTTTTTTATACAAGTTTCTTATCTTGTTTCAAGTCTTTTCATTTCCATGTGTTTTTACATTTTTCTATCTTGAATTTTATGCACCATTATGCAAATGAGACTGCAACTTACTATTGTGAGGATGGTTTTCTTCAGCAAGCACCAGTAAACTTCATGATAAATTGGATGGAACTAAATACTGGGAGGTTCTAGAAGAAAAACTGGTATAGGGAATTAAAGACACGACTGGAGGATCACCTTCCATTGAGACAATAATGCTAAGCATACAGCCAGAACTACGATTTAGATCAAAGCATCTGTTGGAATGCCCCAGTCAAAGTTCACAGCTAAATCCAGATGAAAATCTGCAGAAAATCGATGTTTGTAGATGTTTGGCAAAAAAGGAGGGTCTGGTTCATCACATGATGTTGTCAGCAGCTCATTGAGCTCTTGGAGATACTATTCTACTATATACTAATTCTGGAAAATAGTAATAATAACAATCTTGTATTTAATCAGTGCCTACTAGCTAACAATTTTCCAAGTTTTCAAAGAGATTTCTCATAATGTTCAAAATCTACAATGTGGTTATGAATACTGCATTTTAAGGCAAAGCGAACCAATTTAGTATATCACATTTACAGCTACAGGGCAATTCAAAGTGCATTGATAAAAAGAAAAGTACAAAACAAACAAGCAAAAACATTACATTGCAGTGAAAGTAAAGGAAACCTATGACAGGTTGTAAATGAGTTTGGGTGGACGGATTAAAAAGTCATTAAAATCATGAGACTCATACAAAATGAAAGCAGAGACAGCTGTTAATATGTTCTTGTTTTAATTTTAGCTGCGATGTTTTCTGATTAGTTTCTCGACATGCTAGAGTTAAGATAAAAACACGGTCACTATACCAGCTACTCTTTCAAAGCTGCTCATTACTGTAAATCATATATTACTCTTATAATCATTCGCAAGTGTTTTGCACACAATTATTTTGTGATCAATAGAGAAAGTAGCCTACTTTTCCTGAAGACACCATATTTTTAACTTGCCATATCTAATGGCATAATAAAGGTTGTTCTGCCTGTTTCTGGAAAAGTTGAGTAGTGTTTTGCAACTTACAGAATCCATTCTCTCAGGCACACATATTACCTTATTTTTTTGTATTGTGCATCCAGCAAATGAGACACAAAACCAATAGACATGAGAATAAAGTCTGACTTTAAGTTTGATAGCATGCTACGGAATTACTCCTGGTAAAATCAATTTCTTTTATTGCAGTTTCATTATTTGACATTTAATATCCATTATCACTTTGATCATTTTTATTACTTTGAGCATATTTAAATTTTTACAATACACACACACATATATATATATATAAAAAATT